ATTTGGAATATTGTGTTCAGTCTTGAGCTCCTTACCTTGGGAAAGACATTGAATTGTTGGAAAGGGTTCAGAGAACTACTAGAATGGTGCCTGGGATGGAAGGGTTGTTATACGAGAAGAGGCTGAAATCTCTCAAATTGTCTTATCTTGAAAAAGAAGAGTTAGGGTGGATCTCATTGAGGTGTTTAAGATTCTCAAGTGTTGATGCATCATCTTTTTCATATTTAACAGTGAGAATGTTAGGACTAGGGGACATAAATATAAATTTGGCAAGGTAGGAGTCATCTTCAGCTGACACAGTTTCAGTTGTCTAACAGGGCAGTTGGCCTTTGGAATGGGTTACCTTCGAATGTTGTAGAGGCAGTAAATTTAAAATTAAAAAAAAGCTTGGTAAGTATATGTATGATAAGAGCTAGCTTTAAGTGTTTTTTTTAGTTACTTTAATTTAGTTTAGAGGATGGAACAGCCGAGATGATCCAATAGGTCTCATGTTGTCCCAAAACATTATGTTATATTATACGAATATACCATCTTCTTGTAATACAATAATAGTTATTCTTTGTTCGAAATATGTGCAGCTCTCACATAATACGCGGTCAAGAAAACTGTTAAACTGATTTTTTCAAGTTACCTTTGTTATTCGCGAAGTAGGTAATAAATGTTACCGCCCGTGGAGAAAGTTGCTTAATGCAATCTTTGTTAAAAATGCAGACAGCGACGTCCTTCAATGCTTGTTTAAGTGGGATATATATATATATAGGTTATGGCCGTCGTATGTGCAATAAGAATGAAGTCACGTGGTAGAGCATGTCAAACTTGGCAAATACGGGGTTTCTTCAAATCTGGTGAACAATCTGAAGCTGAGAAGAGAACATCTACCAGAATCGACAGTCTGAAGTAAGTAAAACCGTAAGTATACACACACACACACACACACACAATGCTTATATTCACATATTAATAAAGACGGTTCATCTTGTTTTAAATTTATATTCAGTCTCATTATTCTGTTTGACTTTCTAGTATTACTCCGTAATCAATATCTTAAGCGAATCTCCCGTTTTTTTTTTTTCGGTGATCTGGTAAAGCTTAAAACTTATATTCGGTTCACTTGAATATACATATATCACAGTATCTCACAGATTACTAGTAAAATAAAGAAGTTAAGTCCATAACAACGGGAAGTACTCGAATCTCGGGTTTCGAAATGTATTTTTCTTCGAGTTGTAACAGTTGAGTCAAGGATAGAAACAAGTTTATACAAATGACAGATGTTTAATAATACAAATTTACAACAAAATAAGCAATGAACAATGCACAAAAATATAATAAATAATAATACAATGGACAAGGGATTAAGTGATGTGTGTACCTTATAGTGAAAAGTTATATGAGTAACAAGAGCTAAAATGGATACTATAAAGTATTGTTACGACAGCGGAAGTCACGCAATGCTGGGAGCATGCGCGCTGGAGTTTCTCGAAGCGTCATGAATTTTTCCTGGCAACTCTAGTTTGTTCCAGGCCCCTCTTTTTAGTATATAAGCCCGGCAAATAAAGCCAGCAAAAAAGGATAGATAGCAGAGATATAGAAAGATTGAAGAGATAGGTAATTGAATCAAGAGAACAATAGGCACCGTAGGTAAAGTGTGTGAATCACTGCAATTTATAGCGTGAGTTATAAAGGTTGTTAAGTTTAAAGTGACTATGGAAATTCTGTGTACTAAAAAGTTGTATCGAGAAAGAATAAAGTAGTTTAATTAAGAAAGAATTTGTATCACTGAAGTTCCCCCAGAAAGAATTTATACCGGAAATTAATAAACGAGCAGATACGTAACAGTATAATAAGAAATAAAGCTCTTGCTATAGCATGTTCTTCCCTTCCTCCTTGTAAATTAGACTAGAAAATAAATACCAAGTGAAAATGACCCATAGTTAGACTAATATCCCAGTTAATCAAAGACTAGATAAATGCTGACGTGGATTTCACTAACACTGGCTTATTTCTAAAAATCTACAGTAAACTTTATGTTAAACAATTCAAAATTTAGTTGAATTACGCTCAAAACACTCTACATTCGTGAAGCATGTAACAGACTCAAAACAAACAGCCGCTACAACCAGGGTAGAACAAAAAGACCAATTTATCAAATTCGATGACGAGGAACCTACTTTGAGACTAATAATGGTTGGAGACGGCTTGAATGGCTTTTGTCATCATCAGGTCGAAATGTTGTACATTTGCTCTTATGTTAAAC